CCCAAACCCAAACCCAAACCCAAACCCCATAGTAGAATAAAGGAATAGAGGAATTTATTGAATAATATTAAATTTATCAATGAAATTATAAATTTGTATTAATTTTTAACTCATGTAAATAAATGATTTGACTTTTTCTAGTATGTAAGATTAAATTTAATTCTATCTTCTATAATCTAAATCTATCGCTTAAATTAAAACATCTTCATAAATATTATTTTTGCTCCTTAAATCATAAATCGATAAATAAATTGTTGGATTGTATTCATTAAACATAATTTATTTTTCAGCCAATTTTTTATTTAATATTCGAAAAATCCTTGTTTACCACTTTATCAAAAAATGACTTGATCTATATCATACTTATGAATTGATCACCTGAGTAAGGGATCTGGAAGGAAGTCCCACCTAAATATTATTAGCCTATCAATTGAACACTTTTAAGTAACTCTCCGAATTATGTTCAATTGTCTGATTAATGAATGGATCCTTTGTTCTATTTATCACTAGGGGTGCCTTCATTAAAACATAATTTGTCCACTTATCGAGTTCCGACTTCATTCTAAATTCCTTCATCTTTGATTTTAGAAATTCTCAAATTTAATAATTCTTTCCTTTCTTACCTATCCAAATGTTTTTAAATTGAGTCACACATATTACCATTTTCTATGAACATCCAGATCAAATGAATTGAAGCACAAATATTGTCTTATTTCTCTCTTCTGGATATTGAATAGTTAGAACCCAGATGTTAGTAGGTCATTTGTTTATTCAAGCTGTATTTTTTCTGGACATTTAGAAGTGTACGTACTCTTAATTTTCTTATGATATGATGAAAATCCTTGTTTTGATAAAACTATATATTAATATGTTGCAATTCTTTCTTTAATATTTAATTCTACTTAAATTAATGGAAAAGTCCAAGATTAACACAGTTGTCAGCATTAAAGATGAAAATAAATTTTTCATATCAATTCCAATAAAATTCCTTATTCCTCTAAGGCCATAAGCTTCTTATTCTTATAATTGATGAGAGTCTTTTAGTTTATCAAAATTCTTGCTTTGCTGACAAATTTATTATATTGGGATTTAAATGACTTTTACTAACTGATTCTATTTTTCAAAGACTCACTTAGATACTTGTTTCTGTTAAGAAGTTGCCTACCTATTCTAACCTATTTGGTAGGTTTTTTATCATTATTAAATTTTACACTTTTTTTTTAACATATTATTGGAAGATTCGAATCTTTAATGACTATATTTGAAATTGAAAAAGAAATAACCATGTAAAATTTTAGGAATATCGATTTGATTTAGTTGGATATTTATTTATAATAAATTAAATGATGTCCATTTTTTTATATTGTGGATGATGTACAATTTCAACCAAATTTCCAAATCCTGTAGTTGAAGGAGATGATGAGAATTATAACATTAATATAAAATTCACAACTTTCGCACTAGAATATATATTATGCTTTTGGTTGAGCAATGATATATTAATGGTGATGTTGAATTCAATTATATAATGGAAAAAGGGAGATAATAGCATACCTATAATAACTCACATACTATAATACATATTGATGAACAGGCTCCTTCTGGAACAGCATGATATCATGTAGTTCGAACATAAAATCAGAATTGATGCTCAGCTCCAATTAAATAAGGGAAATAGCCAATGCAGTACTAACACATCTCATACAGGGAAGGATTTGACGATGAAGGAAAGAAAACCATACATACACTTTGCGCACACGATGGCATCAACTTATTTCGAACAAGTCTTATGTGATAAAGGCAATGAAGGATAACTAGCGCACTTATAAATTCAAAAGTGAAAACTATAATTATTAATTGAAAACCTGAACAAAGAAACATCATAGTCTGTAGATAAGTAATTATTGTGCTCTGTGGCTCTAAATATATTACTGCTATTGGATAAAAACAATTAGGAGATTCTGAATATTGAAAATTCATACATGGTAATGAACTTGCTTGAACAATTAGAACTATTAGTAAATCGCTTAGAGGATACTTCAAGCAAAGGAATAGTAAAAAATTTTAACCCTATATTAATATCGTTCAAATCTTATAGGTCTAATAAGGGATCTTTTTTGGTTTTGTCAATTTACCTTTTAAATTAATGAGCATTATCATAGAGTTGTATTGCAGCAGTTAAAGCAAACAGTAATTCTTTTGTTTCATTTTCATCGTCTATTTGATTGTCAAAACCAATAGGGGATCGCCAAAAATATAATCTTCAATATAGTTAAATTAATCATCTGATTTTTAATTTTTAGTTTTAAGGATTATTAGCACTTTATTAATTTTCATAATTTTTCAAATGTTCAATAGTTTGCAGAAAAAATCCTCATCTTTAGGTCTAAGATATATTAAATAAGTAAATTTAAAGTAGAATGGTTTCTAAATATTCACATATCAAACCCTTAAATACACCAATAATTTCATGATTGAAATATTAAAAATACACCCATAATTTAATGTAATAAATTTTTAATTTTATGAATTGGCTTCTTTAACAGAATGATTAAATAATATTTCTGTATTTATATTTCCTCATCAAATTTGTTCACATAAAATATTACTTACTTTTAATAAGTTAATTTGGGGTGATTACATTTCAATTATATTAGATGTTAGATTTATTAATGAATATGATAGTTCTTTCTCAGAGAACTTATCAAAATACGTAATTGATTTCTATAACATCAAAAAAAGATGGCTTAATATTTATCAATATATCAAAATTATAGTCTTTGGACTAATCATTAAGGTAAACTTTGTCAATAAATTTCAGTCTAATACATCTTTGTGAAAAATGATTGCATTCTTCTACATAAGAATTCAGAAATCAATATCTAAGAAGAATTTCCCAAAGATTTATAATATTTTAGTTTGATATCTGAAAAAAGAAATAAAATTACTTTAGAAGGCAAATTCTAGTAAGTAATTCTATTTCTTAAAATAAAATAGGATGATTATGAATTAAACTAATAATTAGTAAGAAAGCATTTGAAAAAATTAAATTTTAGTATTCTTAAAGGTTGAAAATTTAATTCATTTAATCGATTTTGTAATTTATGAGTTAGTTTAATCAAATATTCAATGGATAAAAATATTAAAATTTCTTAGAAAATAGCATTATAATTCTAAAGATTCTATTATTAATTTAGAGTAACATATTGCAAAAAGAGTTCACCACGCTGAAGACATTTATTAAAAATTTGTGTATAATAAACAATAGAGCAATAATTCTTAACGTTTTGTTTTGGGTGTTGCAATATAATTTCCAGCCATTACTTAATGAATAAAGTAATAAAAAAGAAAGCTTGCTAATGAGCAGTTAATTTTATTTTTAATCTAATTTTACATTCTAGAATTTCTTATTTCTCAAATACTTGCAAGAATCATCAAAAAGCACTTCAGGTTTTATCTTGATAAAATCTTTCTTACTTTACTCAGAAAATATTCTAAATTAGTTTGTTTTCTTAATAAATAACTACCTTCATTCTTCTATGAAGAGTAAAAAGATGATAAATTGAGTAGTTATAATAATTTCATTAGGGGGAATTGTTCCTGGTAGTATGAAATTCACAAATTATCAAAATGTACATGGAAATTTGTTTCTTAGGAGTAATTATTGTATTGATAATTCGAGAAAAACTACTTCAACCAAAAATTTAAGTCGTATCCATGCTCCTTAAATATGGGCTTTTATTATCGAGTAACCCTATAGAAAATATTAATTAGAAAGGCATGAGTAGCAGATTTAATAGATAAAGATTTGTCTATATAAAATTTACATTAACATCGTCGAACTAATAGTGGAGTAATTTAAAGCTTTCATCAGTTTGTGTTAAAAATTTAAAGATATTGCAGATAAAATATAATAATAATTTTTCTTTAATTTAATAGTATCTAACTTTTCTAAAAGTTAGAATGATTTTTTTTAATTCTAAATATAAAAAATATTAAAAAAACTAAATATTTTGAGGGAATACCAATTGTAGGCTATTAATAAACATATCTAAAAATTATTATGAACATATATTGAAATTTGATGATCATATAATAAATTGAAATAAAGAATTAAATTTTTAGAAAAAGAAGTAAAATGGATCTAATACCTTACGGATTAGAAAGAATTAATAATAAAAGAAATAGTCTTTATTAAATGGAATTAATTCAATAGTTTTTAGATAGTATTATAATGCGCGATCATATTAATAAGTCTCTCTTAAACATTCCCCTAAAGATTATTATTATATTATACTTATTCCAAAATTAAGCTGCTGAATTATTTACGTTTATTGAAATACATTTTTCATAATATTATTAAGCTTAAAAATAAGACTGTTAATTTTTTNTTTCAATTATATTAGATGTTAGATTTATTAATGAATATGATAGTTCTTTCTCAGAGAACTTATCAAAATACGTAATTGATTTCTATAACATCAAAAAAAGATGGCTTAATATTTATCAATATATCAAAATTATAGTCTTTGGACTAATCATTAAGGTAAACTTTGTCAATAAATTTCAGTCTAATACATCTTTGTGAAAAATGATTGCATTCTTCTACATAAGAATTCAGAAATCAATATCTAAGAAGAATTTCCCAAAGATTTATAATATTTTAGTTTGATATCTGAAAAAAGAAATAAAATTACTTTAGAAGGCAAATTCTAGTAAGTAATTCTATTTCTTAAAATAAAATAGGATGATTATGAATTAAACTAATAATTAGTAAGAAAGCATTTGAAAAAATTAAATTTTAGTATTCTTAAAGGTTGAAAATTTAATTCATTTAATCGATTTTGTAATTTATGAGTTAGTTTAATCAAATATTCAATGGATAAAAATATTAAAATTTCTTAGAAAATAGCATTATAATTCTAAAGATTCTATTATTAATTTAGAGTAACATATTGCAAAAAGAGTTCACCACGCTGAAGACATTTATTAAAAATTTGTGTATAATAAACAATAGAGCAATAATTCTTAACGTTTTGTTTTGGGTGTTGCAATATAATTTCCAGCCATTACTTAATGAATAAAGTAATAAAAAAGAAAGCTTGCTAATGAGCAGTTAATTTTATTTTTAATCTAATTTTACATTCTAGAATTTCTTATTTCTCAAATACTTGCAAGAATCATCAAAAAGCACTTCAGGTTTTATCTTGATAAAATCTTTCTTACTTTACTCAGAAAATATTCTAAATTAGTTTGTTTTCTTAATAAATAACTACCTTCATTCTTCTATGAAGAGTAAAAAGATGATAAATTGAGTAGTTATAATAATTTCATTAGGGGGAATTGTTCCTGGTAGTATGAAATTCACAAATTATCAAAATGTACATGGAAATTTGTTTCTTAGGAGTAATTATTGTATTGATAATTCGAGAAAAACTACTTCAACCAAAAATTTAAGTCGTATCCATGCTCCTTAAATATGGGCTTTTATTATCGAGTAACCCTATAGAAAATATTAATTAGAAAGGCATGAGTAGCAGATTTAATAGATAAAGATTTGTCTATATAAAATTTACATTAACATCGTCGAACTAATAGTGGAGTAATTTAAAGCTTTCATCAGTTTGTGTTAAAAATTTAAAGATATTGCAGATAAAATATAATAATAATTTTTCTTTAATTTAATAGTATCTAACTTTTCTAAAAGTTAGAATGATTTTTTTTAATTCTAAATATAAAAAATATTAAAAAAACTAAATATTTTGAGGGAATACCAATTGTAGGCTATTAATAAACATATCTAAAAATTATTATGAACATATATTGAAATTTGATGATCATATAATAAATTGAAATAAAGAATTAAATTTTTAGAAAAAGAAGTAAAATGGATCTAATACCTTACGGATTAGAAAGAATTAATAATAAAAGAAATAGTCTTTATTAAATGGAATTAATTCAATAGTTTTTAGATAGTATTATAATGCGCGATCATATTAATAAGTCTCTCTTAAACATTCCCCTAAAGATTATTATTATATTATACTTATTCCAAAATTAAGCTGCTGAATTATTTACGTTTATTGAAATACATTTTTCATAATATTATTAAGCTTAAAAATAAGACTGTTAATTTTTTAAAATATCACCTAAATAATATAAAAAATATAATTCCTATTTTCGATAAAGTGTTCATGCTTTGGGTTAATTGTAATTATATTAGAGTATTTCTATTTAAGTTTCACAAAATTCATTGTTTCTTACTTCATACATTATGCTTCTGATATCGTGTCTTCTCCATTGGATATTATCAGAAGAAGAATTATGATTCAATAAAGTATTTCAAGATAATTATTAATTAAAAGGAAGCTATTATATTAAATATCGAAATAATTTAGATTGCGAAGTTCTAGATTCTAAATAAAGAAGGATAATAAGTTTTTCAAAGAAGCTCTCGTAACCCTTTTTGGAAGCAGATCTGTACTATATTTGGTCTTTTATGAAAAATAAACAATTATTTAAGTTCAAGTTCTAAAAATCAAGGATGGAATAATAAATTAATTTAAGCAATGTTATCCAAACGTCTATATTAAAATCTTCTAGAAATATCTACCACTAGTATTACTATAAAATAATAATCATTATTCTACTATTTAATTAATTTTCTAATGAATAATGATCAAGAAAATTTGAAGCTTTGATTGTCTTAAAATTAAATATCTCATAATTTTTGAATTCTTTCAATTNGATTTGTCTATATAAAATTTACATTAACATCGTCGAACTAATAGTGGAGTAATTTAAAGCTTTCATCAGTTTGTGTTAAAAATTTAAAGATATTGCAGATAAAATATAATAATAATTTTTCTTTAATTTAATAGTATCTAACTTTTCTAAAAGTTAGAATGATTTTTTTTAATTCTAAATATAAAAAATATTAAAAAAACTAAATATTTTGAGGGAATACCAATTGTAGGCTATTAATAAACATATCTAAAAATTATTATGAACATATATTGAAATTTGATGATCATATAATAAATTGAAATAAAGAATTAAATTTTTAGAAAAAGAAGTAAAATGGATCTAATACCTTACGGATTAGAAAGAATTAATAATAAAAGAAATAGTCTTTATTAAATGGAATTAATTCAATAGTTTTTAGATAGTATTATAATGCGCGATCATATTAATAAGTCTCTCTTAAACATTCCCCTAAAGATTATTATTATATTATACTTATTCCAAAATTAAGCTGCTGAATTATTTACGTTTATTGAAATACATTTTTCATAATATTATTAAGCTTAAAAATAAGACTGTTAATTTTTTAAAAT